CTTCGGAGATGTCCAGCAAACTTGGGCGATGTCCATCTAATATTCTTCCCTGGACCTGATAGCTGAACGAGCATCTTAGATCTAGTTCAAATCCTGGAACTTCCACTTGGCTGTAAGATTGTACACAAGTCCCTTGACCTATCTGATTCTAGATTTCCTTATCTGTAAAAATAAATAAATTGAAAGAAAAAGAAAAGAAAGAAACCTTGTCACCTACCTCACAAAAGTTGCTGTAGAAGTTAAGTGAGATGATGCCAAGGAATGCTTTGAGTGCATAGTAGTAGGTGCTCATTAAATGGTGATTTTGGAGGGCTGAACTGATGTTTTTCTGGCAGAGAAAATAGTCTATGCTGAGTCAAGACAGTGGAGGGTTATATTTGAGATGGAACCAATAGGGTTTAATGAATAGTTCATAGACAAGCTCAAAGAGAGAAGAATAGTGGCTTCAAGCACCAGACTTGGAGGCCTAGATGCAGCTTGTTTGGTGGATGGATAATCCTTTGGGTACCTTTGAAGGACCAGGCACTGCTCTGGGTGCAGGGAGAGAACTCAGTGAACTAAACAGAAGAAAATGCTCTACCCTGTGGAGCTTCCTCCCTAGTGAGGGAGACAGACAATGAGAAAAACATGGAGGAGAAAAGAGACATTTTAACAAGTGGTGCTGGGAGCCGGGTGGGGTGGTACACTCCCGTCATCCCAGTGGCTTGGGAGGCTGAGGCAGGAGGATGCTGAGTTCAAAGCCAGTCTCAGCAACAGTGAGGCACTAAGAAACTCAGTGAGACCCTGTCTCTAAATAAAATACAAAATAGGGCTGGGGATGTGGCTCAGTGGTGAGTGCCCCTGACTGAGTTCAATCCCTGGTACCCCTCCCCCCCAAAAAAATGGTGTTGGAAAAACTGGATATCTGTATGTAGAAGACTGAAACTAGATACCTGTCTCTCACCCTGCACAAAAGTCAACTCAAGGTGTATCAAAGACCTAGGGATCAACCAGAAACACTTGCAACATAGTGAAAACATAGGGCCAACATATTGGCCCAGGAACTGACTTCCTTAACAAGAATCCTAAAGCACAAGAAATAAAACCAAGAATCAATAAGTAGGAAGACATCCCATTAAAAGTTTCTGCACAGGGCTGGGGCTGGGGCTCAGTGGTAGAGCGCTTGCCTAGCATTTGTGAGACCCTGGGTTCGATCCTCAGCACCACATAAAAATAAATAAATAAGGGTTTTGTGTCCAACTACAGCTAAAAAAAATAAATATTAAAAAAAGTTTCTGCACAGCAAAGGAAACAAGAGCATGAAGAGAGAGCCTACAGAATGGGAGAAAATCTTTTGCCAGTACTCATCCAACAAGGGATTAGTATGTAGAATATATAAAGAACTCAAAAAACTTAGCCCCTAAAACACAACCCACTGAATAAATGGACAAAGGAACAGAACAGATGCTTCTCAAAAGAAGAAATACAAATGGCCAACAAAGATATGAAAAAATTGTTGACGTCCCTAGCAATCAAGGAAACTCAAAACTACATTGATATTTCATCTCACTCCAGTTAGAATTGCAATCAGAAAGAATACAAATAATAATGAATGCTGGTGAGGACCTGAGGGCGGGGGAGGTCCACTCTTACATTGTTGGTGGGATCGAAGATTAGTACAACCACTTTGGAAAGCCAGCATGGAGATTCCTCAAAAGACCAGGAATGAACCCACCATAAGGCCCAGTTTTCCCATTCCTTGGTATTTATCCTAAAGAAAACTAAAATCAGCATACTATAGGGATTCGGGCACATCAGTGTTTATAGCAGTGCTATAACTAATTCACAATAGCCAAGTTATGAAATAAGCCCAGGTGCCCATCAATAAGGTGAATAGATAAAGAAAATGTGGTGCATATACACACAATGGAGTTTGACTTAACCATAAGGAAGAATGAAATTATTTGCTGGTAAATGAATGAAGCTGGAGAAGATGATGCTAAGTGAAGTGAGCCTGACTCAGAAGGTCAAGGGTCAAATGTTCCTTCCTCTATGCCGACGCTAAACCAAAATAAGGGGGGAAGGTGGAGCAGGGAGTCCCATGAAATTAGAAGAGTCATCAATGGAGCAGAGGAAGGAGATGGAGGAGGAGGAAGGAGGGATGGGAAAAGAGAAAAAATATGGAAGGAAATGGACCAAATATTGCTGTGTCCACATATGAATATACCACAGTGAATTTTTCCTTTAGAGATATCTATAAAGCACTAATTTTAACATATATATGTAAATAAATAGAAAGAAGACCAGTAGGGTAGAGCAAGGAGAACAGGAGAAGGGGGGAGGAGAGGGGGAAGAGGAAGTACCAGGGACAGAAGTGATCTAATTATATCCCATGCATGTCTGATAATATCAAATTGACCCCCAATATTATGTATAATATAGTCTGCTAATAAAAACATAAAAGGAAATAATTAAAAATTAAATGAGAATTTTTTTCTGATTGCGAGAACTGACTTAGGCCATGAACAGGGTAGGGGGGGTGGAGTATAAGAAAATAGACTACTGTAGACAGAATTCCCCAGAAGGCCTCTCCTGGCAGAGAGGGGTACACATCCTGAACAATGAGAAGAGGTCAACAGACGAGAGGAGGGGAAGTCTCGAGGAGGAGGGAGCAGCAGATATGGAGACCTTGGGATGGGAAAAAAAATGGTGAGAAGTGGGGGGGGGGAATTCCATGTAAATGAAGCACAGGCAAAAAAGGAAAGAATTGGCAGAAAGGGGAGGTTGGAGAAGTGGTAGGACCAGGCAGCAAAGAGGGAGCCGTGACCAGCAGGTTCTTATGGAACAGGTGCGGTTTGAGGTGCTTAAGGGGATCTCTAAGCCAAGGATCCAGGGCTACCTGCTAATAGTGGAGACAGTACAAGTACTTAAGAACTCATCCAGTTGCATCAAAATTGCCAGACAGGGGAGGTGGGAGTTCCTAGAAATATGGATTTCTCAGGCATTAAAAATTACAGAATTTCCTTTTTTGGAAATTCTAATTCAAGCTAGGTCTTTCCCAAGTCCTGGAAATCATTTTTTTTTTCAACATTCCAAGTAGGTCTTGGCCCACTTGAGTTAGGCCTACAGGAATTGGTCAATATTCCCAGATCCCTCTGGACCACTTATTCAAGAACTATTTCCTGCACCCTTAATGTGGACCTGGATCATTCTTTTTTTTTTTTTTTTTCAACATTTTATTTTTTATTTATTTATTTATTTAGTTAGTTAGTTTTCGGTGGACACAACATCTTTGTATGTGGTGCTGAGGATCAAACCTGGGCCGCATGCATGCCAGGCGAGCGCTCTACCACTGAGCCACATCCCCAGCCCTTCAGGATAATTCTTAAATGCTCAAGATGCAACTCTGAACAGGTTAGAGAGCTTACAGTCTAGAGAAAGAAAGTGAATGAGTTAGTTAAAAAAAAAAATCACAACTGTGATACATGCCAAGACAAAAAAATACAACCTAGTAAGATATAGAATAATTATGGGATCAATTTATCTGTGTGCTAGATAAATCCAAAGACTTCTCTTTGAGGAAGTGACATCTGAACTGACCATTGAGAAATAAGAAGGGAGAAGCCATGTGACAGTTGTCAGGAGGAACAGCATTCCTGAGAGAGGGATCAGCCAATGCTAAGGCTGAAGCTAATCTTTTGGTTTATCCCAACTTGATTAACCAACCAAAATAGGGGAGAGGGCATGGCAGAGAAGGTATTCTTTCACCTTTGAGTGGTCCTCCAGAAAGCTCTGTCAAGCATATACATAGTACCAGGCACTTGGTGACACAAACACGAGTAAGATGTTCCCCTCTCTCAGGGAGCTTGCCTTCCAGTTAAGGAGACAGATTACCAAATAAGTATGACCTCATGAGACAAGAGGGAACATCTCAGAAAATCAGTTCACGTTCTGCGAAAGTCAAGCAGATGATTAATACTTTTGAGTCTGATGATGTGAGCAATTGTTTTTGAGACTGTGGATGACAAATTATGCTCATTTTTATTTTCCTGCCAACTCAGAATATCTGAATATCAGGTGGAATATTTGCAACAGTGAATATTGGGTGTGAGATACTATAATCAACAATATTTGGGAGAAATAGCACCCTAATAATAGCTAACATTTATGAAGCACAAAAATTTGTCTGGTTTAGTACGTAAACTTGAGTCCCTCACAGGGACTATTACTCCCCTTTCTCAGATGAAGAATTCAGGGCCCAGTGAGGTGAAGGGACTTTCCTGATGTCATTCCTCCCCCATGTGACAATTTCCCAGCTTTGTCAGGGTTCAGAGGCTCAGTTCTAGTCACTCATGCATGACCTAGATGCTGATACAATTGCTGTCTTCACCCCAGTTTCCAAAGTGGATCCCTCTCTCTTCTCTCCATCCCAATTATGTATCTGAGTTGTCTACACCAGCTGGATTCACCTGCATTTCTCGGGTCCTATTGGTGAAAAAAGTGGAGAAGAGAAAAATTCTTTGTTTCCACGTTTGGGAGAAAGTGGAAGGCTCTGGTACAAGCCTTGAGTGACTCCAGTCTCCTGTGCCCTCTGTGGAGTGTGGGAAGCACGGAAAGCCTGTTATCCAATGGATAGGGTGTGGCGGGTCCCCTCTAAAGTATTCAAACTCAGCTGCTTTGGGGGAAAAAAAATGAACTGGCCATCTTTAACCTTCAGACTATGCAGTTTGAAGTGTAAAGGGACTTCTTGGCTTTCACCTGCCCTGAGACTCCGGACCTAGTGTGAGTCGGTGCATCAGTCCAGTGGTTTCTGGGTGTGTTCAGGAGCGCAAGGTCTTCCTCTGCCTTTGCTCCATTTCTCAGGGTAACTGGCTCCTTCTCTTCTCCCTCCCTCCCTCCCTCCTCATGGGGAGGCTCTTGGCCCAGGTCCCTGAGCCCGGGGAAGTGCAGGGGGAGGACGCAGGAAGGGTGAGATCACATCTCCCTGGAGTCCCGCGCAACCGGCTTTTCAGAGCCTCGCCATGAGCCGGCAGACAGAGCCCCACACGGCGCAGACCGTGGGCTCCGCCGTCCTCCCTGAGCAGCCGACTTTGCCCATGTCTCAATACGGCCCCAGCTCGGACTTCAAGGAGGCTTTGGACAGTAGATCCCAGGCCAATGCAGAAGATGAAAAGACGGAGGAGGACATGCCCATGCCCAAGAACTACCTGTGGCTCACCATCGTCTCGTGTTTTTGCCCCGCGTACCCCATTAACATCGTGGCTTTGGTCTTCTCCATCATGGTGAGTGAGCGAGGGCCAGAAGCAGCCCGGGAGGAGAGACCCTCTGGGCTCTTGCGCCTCTCCAGGGCGCCTCTCCTAGGCACCCCCACAAGCTGGCTCTTTGTTGCCCACACCTCCTCCTCACTTTTCCTGGACTCTTGGGCTGTCCCCCCAACCATCAGCACCTCCTCGGCATTCCTAGTGGTTCTCAGACCCCTGACCAAGCCCCCCACTCCTAGCCTATTCCCTGAGCACGCAGTCTCCACGTCCCTTTCCTTGCCCCACCGAGGGCTCTGGCATAATCAGTGCCTGTAACGGTCTCTGACTTGCATTTACTCCTTTCTGTCTTGGCTATGACCAGCGCACCACCTCCACCCCTCTTAGAGGGTCACGAGGGGATCCCCTCCTTGGCTCTGGTGCAGGGCTGTGGCACAGCCCGCCGTCCCCTGGGCCACAGTTTCTTTTCGCTTCTTCTTCTGTCCAGCACCCTTTCTTTGCTCCTCTCCAGCACCGGCTTTCCACTGCTCCCTAGACTGACTCGCACCTGCTACCTCCCCAGGTCTGTCTTGGAAGCCCCCGCGCCAAACGCGTGCTGCTCTTTTACTATGTATACCCCAGCACGTTGTAGTTCCTCTCCCATTTGCTGCACTCCGACTCCGCACAACCTATTTCAAGATGCCATTCCACACTCTGTCCTGCGCTGGGGGCGCTGTGCGAGAAGCACCCGGGACTCCACGCAGGGCGCCGCTCTGCGCGCCCTAGGCGCACCGGACTCTTGGGCTGTGAGCGCTCCTGCCGCTGGTGCCTCCTGTCCTCCCTTAAAGAGTCAGCCCTCTTCCACTCCCGCGCGAACCCCACCAGGAGGGCGACTAAGCTTGTGAGATTCTTGCCTTATTGACTGGAGCAGCTGGCCCGCGGGTGGCGGCGGGGTAAGGTTCGGACTGGCACTGTCCCGGGACAACCCTTGCAGTGGCGCTCCCTCCCCCACAGGCCCACTTCTCCCTCCGCAGGGCCCTCGAACTGCCCGCCTCGGACCTGATTCCGCTCAGTGAAAGTTGCCAGCAACCCAACCCTTCCTCTGCCCACCAGGTCGGCCCCCACGTGCACCCAATTCACCTCTCTGGCAACCACAGAGTCTCCATTTGCACTCGCAGATTGCCCGTACCTAACACCTGGTTCCCAGGCTGTCTGCACCAACTTTCAAGTGCACAGTTTCAACTGCGTGCGTTCAAATTCCGGTTCCACCGCTTGCTAGTTGGGTGGTATCTGGGAATCGCTGCGTCTCTCTGAACCTCGGTTATCTTTGTAAAACCGGAATAATCAATCATAGCCTGGGGTGGCTGTGAGCATTCGTGATATAATTGTAAAGTGCTTGGAACAGTACCTGGCATGGAATCTTTTTAAAATGGCACTTCATGAGACCTGATTCCTGTTTGAAATCAACCCCACCCCGACACACACACACACACACACACACACACACGCACACACACACACACACCACGTTCTATTCTCCCTTCCTTGTCGCTTTTGGTCCAAAGCACTTCTGTCCATCTATTATTTTATTTATTAAGATGGTCACTGTCTGTGTCCCCTCATTAGAATATAAGCTCTATGAGGGCAAGGTGTTGGTCTTGTTTGTGGCTGCTTCTTCCCCACCCAAAAAAGCTTCTGGCACCTTCTGGTAGAGCTTACCAAATATTATGAAAGGAATGCATGCAGGAGGGAAGGGTGTTAATGGATCCTCCTGTCTACTTTGCCCTGGTTTTTTCCCCAAACTGGAGCCTGGAAACCGGAAGCCATCATATCAAGTTCCTTAGGACCAACCAGCCAACTTCCTTTCTTCCTTCCTAACTTCCTAACTTCCTTCCTTCCTTCCTTCCTTCCTTCCTTCCTTCCTCTCCCCCCAAAATCCGCCCTTGGGTTTTATGCAGAGAGGAGCTGGAAGAGATGTAGCAGGCAAATTCTCTATGTGACAGCAGACTGGCTGGCTGGGTACTGGTGCCCACACCCCATCCGGTTTATTAATGAAGCAGCCAATTTGCCCCTTTCCGGTTGCCACTTAGAAATATGCCTAGGAAGGTTTTCCCTTCATTGGTCCCAAATGAGCTAACACAGCAGGTAGTGAGAGGTTGGATACTATTGCTACCACTTTGTGCCCTGGGGGATGACACTGGTACACACTTTGAATAGAAACCTCTTTTTCTAACTCCTGCCTCTCGGTTCCTTCTTCACTCCCATGCCCCACTTTTTTCCATAGTTTTATTGCAAAAGATTATTTTACTATCAGAACCCAGACCCCAGAGACAGAGGCTGATTGTGGGACACCTTCATACCTTTTGAAAATCTTGGTTCCTTCTCCTCTAGAATGGGAATGTGGACACTGTTTCATATTGAGCAAAACTGTTGTAAGAATGAAACCAAATAAAGCTTGTCACGCCCCCAGCACTGTGCTAGGAATGTGCAATTACTGACAGACAGATGGGTAGATTTGGAATCTGGAGACATCGTATGTCACATATGAAAACAAGCAGAACATCAAACAAGCGAGAACAAACCACCCTCCCTATTTGGAAGGATTTCCCTCATTGAAACAGTACAGATCTGGGCTTGATTCCTTTCTATAAAGATTCCAGATTTATTGTTGGTGGTGGTGGTGGTGGTATTTTTTCCTTTTACGCTAAGCTACCTCTCCAGTCATTTTTTTTTAAAAAAAGGTTTATTTTTTAATTGCAGGTGGACACAATACATTTGTTGTATTTTTATGTGGTGCTAAGGATCAAACTCAGTGCCTCACTCATGCTAGGCGAACACTGTACCTCTGAGCCACGACCCCAGCCTCTCCCCAGATCTTTGTATTTATTTATTTGTGTTTTTTTTTTTTTGAGACCAGGTGTTGTTAAATTGCTAAGGTTGACCTCGAACTTTTGATCCTCCTACCTCAGCCTCCTGAGTTGCTGGGATTGCAGGCATGTGCCATCATGACAGGTTAAAGTTTCCAAAATCTGAGGGGCAAAGAAGAGGAGGAAGGGTGTGCAGGGGAAGGTGACACCCATTTTCTTGTTGCTAATAACACAATACCACAGACTAGGTCATTTATTTGTTAGAAAGAGAGAGGTTGTAAAGTTTAGATCAGGAATATCCTCCAATGCTTTAGTGTGTTGGTCCCCGGTGCAGGAAGGTTCAGAGGTGGGGTTTTGGAGAAGAGATTGTATCATGAGGGCTCTGACCTCATCACCGTATTAGTCAATTAGTGAATTAATGATTTGAATGGACTATTGGGAGGTGATGGAAATTTTAGGAGGTAGGACCCAGTTGAAGGAAGTAGGTCACTGAGGGCATGTCCTGGGAAGGTAATTCTGTGTCTTTCCTCTCTCCATCTCTCTCTCTCTATTTCTTCTTCCTGCCAGCCATGAGCTAAGCAACACTCCTCTGCCACACCCTTCTGCCATCATGTTCTGCCTCACCTGAGGCCCAGAGCAACGCAGCCAGGCAACCAGGGACTGAGACCCCGGAAGCTGTGAGCCCAAATAAATCTTTTCTCCTCTGAATAATTTTTCTCAGGTAGTTGTCACAGTGACGAAAAGCTGACTGAACACAGAGGTTTCATTTGGTCCAAGGTCAGGGGGCCACATCTAGTGATGAGCTAGCTGGCAGAGTCCTGAGGTAGCACAGGGTATCTCATGACCAGAGACAGGCAGCACTCCAGAGACCTGGACAAAGTGGCTTTACGGCAGACCCTCCCTCTACATGACTCACTTGCTCACTAACCCAGTAATCCATTTATGACGTGAATGGATTAATCCATTCATAAGGACAGAGTAAGAATCACTTCTTAGTGGTCCCAACTGGCCCAAACGCTTAATACCTCATAATGAAGATTAAGTTTCAGCATGAGTTTTGGAGGGGACACACCATTTCCAAATCACAGCAGTGGTCATCCAATCCCGCTGGGTAGACACTTTCCCTAAGGTGTCTTGTGGTGTTCTGTCCTGGCTGTTTTCAAATCTCACTTATCTGTAATCCATGACAAGTCTGGGTACAGCAACGGTGTGGCTGGGGGTCCTGACTGGAGTCGCACCATTTCTTAGGAAGGCACTTGGAAATGTGGGGGAGCGCTTGTGGGAATGTCACTGATTTGAGACATCTGGCATTTGATGAAAAGAGCCAAAGTGCTAATACCTTGCAATGCTAGGAACTGAAGAATTGATGAACCCCAAATACCAGTTGGTACCCCAATGAAGAAACACCCTAAGAGAATACAAATTGATATAAATGTGGATGGGTGAAATACAGGAGAAGGCTCAAGATAACTAGTTCCCAGAATGGTAAAAATAGCCGACAGTCCCCAAGCCATCAATACCTTAATTTATTTCTTAAACCAAGTCTGGGGAGCCTTCAGTAAAATTATGAAGTTGGAGTAGGTGGTGGACAATAAAACTTCACTGAAAAATACACACTGGAGATGAGTGTTCTTCAAGCTGTCAGCCTCTGTGTTCTTCTGTCACCCAATGTGCAGCCATTATGCCATTATGTCGCAGCAGATCACAGATGAGTCCCCAGATGGCACATCTTATTGTGTTGGAACGTTGGTGGGTCTAGTATTGCCTGCGGCAGGAACACAGAAGCCTTTGTTCATCTGTTTGTTGTTATTGCTTGTTTTTTGTTGTATTTTGGGTTCCTTGGTTTGTTTTATACCAGGGACTGAACCCAGGGGCACTTTACCACATCCCCTGCCCTTTTATTTATTTATTTATTTATTATTTTGGGACAGGGTCCCACAATGTTGCTTAGGGCCTTGCTAAGTTGCTGAGACTGGCCCCAAACTTGTGATCCTCCTGCCTTGGCCTTCCAAGTCACTGGGATTATAGGCCTGCACCACTGGGCCTGGCTCCTCTATGTATTGAAAGTGCATTTAATTTGTACTCAACAGAGGGGGACGTATATCTCAAGAGTACCACTCCCAGTCTATAGTGGACCAGTTGGGACCACTGCAGACTGAGCTACTGCTGGCCCATATG